AGGGATGTCGTGGCACCAGTCCCTGGACCCAGTCCCAGAAATGGCAAGGGTGACTCTACAGATGGCACAGCAACCAATCCGATCCCAACATGCCAGGCAGCCAGTGATGTGGGGAGATGTAAAAAACTTGATCCCTGAGAACCTGTGTGCTGCCATTTTTGCGGTTTTAACTGCAAATTCCTTACCCATCATTTGTTTATGTCTGATCGTTAACATCTTCCCTTTGACAACAGCAACTGTCATCCCACTCAAACAATCATTCGAGCAACGAATGAAGCAAAATCTAACATCACACAAAATGACTTCTTTTGTTTATCTGAAATGTATGACATGGAAAATTTGCTTTCTACATGTTTAGTCTTTGTTTGCACCCCTTCTGCAGTTATTCAAAATTTCACTGATTATAACAGAATTTTATTCAATGGGAACTTTAACTATAAGACTATATCTAGCTGGGGGGTTACTGCTTATTATCCACCCCCTGACACTATTGTTTTACACACCCTGGTGGTAGCAATACCTGCAAATATAACATGTGCAAAAATAGTTAATTGTACTTCTTCAAGTAAAAAACCTCACTGTCATCGCATTGGCTCACCTGCTTTAAACTGCACAGCTTCAATAGAGACTTCCTTTCATTTTGGACATGCTTGGCTACTGCAAGGAGGTTTTTTTACGTGTGGTCAAGAAACTTTAAATTATATTCCTGCTAATATTAGTGAAGCGCAATGTTGTCTCAGCCAGCTGATTCCTGTTTTGCTTTCCAAACAACAAGTTCACATGAACCATTCTCCACGTGGGGTCGCACTAGACAGCACTTGTGACTCTGAGACACAATAAAGCAGAATAACATTGGCTATGTTTCTAGTGGGCGTGCCAGGACTTGCTGTTCGTGCTCACCTCAACATTAATGCTATTACATGTAATTTAGCAAAAACAATACTATTTCTTCAACTATTTCAGCAATCAATCATGAACTGCAAAATTTGAGAAAAGCTATTTTGCAAAATCATGCTGCAATTGATTATTTGCTTCTGCACCAGCATTTGGGTTGTGAAAGTTTTGAGGGAATGTATTGTTTCAATATTTCTGATAATTCACAAACCAGCACCAGATTAATATTTTACACAATTTGATTTGAAAATTGATACTTTAGGATCTTGGTGGGTGCTGTTTATTCACTGATTACTACATTTGTGATCTTCAGCCATATTTTCTTAATAGTGTATTAAATTAAAAGCTTTACAATAAAAAAATAAGAGTAATTTTTTTACCAAGTATGTAACACAGCTGGGCTTCTCACAGCTGATATCTGCCAAGGTTACAGAAGTCTTATTTATCATCTGGGCTGCAAACCAAGTCTCTGTTAGGCAATAACAGGTTGTAAGATCAGATTTAGCCACAAGGTGTCACCGATACCATTTAGGGTTTGTTTTTCTCTCTTATTTAGTCCAAATTTTGTAATCCTTTTCCCGATTTTACTACATCTTTATAGAGAAAGCCCCAAATCTTCAATAAAAATAAGGAATCTTTTAGTCCTCAAGCTTTAGAAAGGTAAAAGTCCAGTTAAAATCAGGTTATTCTTTTAATGTTTGAAAACTCCCCTGGATAGTTAGTCGCCGCTATTAGAGGGTGGGATAAAGTCTCTCTTCCCTCACTACAAGGGGGAAAATACTTTGGGCAGCTTATGCAGGTGGAAAAAATAATTAGGATTGAAGAGAGGTTCAGATCTCACCCAGTCTCTTCCGCGCTGCTTTGTAGGTGCCTTGTGGTAAGTGTGACTTCAGCTGTCTGCAGCCTAGTGACGAGCTATATTGCTGTGTCCGGTCTTTCATCCGCTGGTTTGGAGGGCTGCGCCGGATCAAGCGGAAAAGCTACCACTCTCCCATGATCCAGCAGGAATCTCCTCCTTGCTGGCCGCCCCTACAGGGTGACCTTCGACCCTTTCCAGGGTACCCCAGCAATGCGAAATTGGACATGCAAGGTGAGCTCGCCTTCGAAACGTCCACAGAGGCCATGTCGGCAAACTGTTGCGATGTCCTGGCCCGGGAATTTGGTTGAAACAAAATAAATCACTGCCAGGTACGAAGAACAATGCTTTAATAGCAATATGGAACAAGCATAAAGTTGGCACTGGGAAACATCCGCCCTCAGTACCTTTTTATAGTAATAGTATCTACCACACCCAACACCACACCTGTATCCCCACACCCATGAGTACTTGGCCCCATCCAATTACCCCGGGAAGCCACCATCCGGTCCTTTGAAACACCCCAGGTGCCGTACGCTCATCCCGACAATTAGCTGGTTCTGCGCATGTGCGGCATTGTCAGTATGCCTCAGGGCTGCTTCTGCGCATGTTCAGGAAGCTGGCTTGTCTTTCAGTTTGCGCATGCGTGGCTCTGCCAAGCGACCTCCCAGCTGTCTATGCGTATATCTGAGCAACGATAGAACTGCGCATGCTCAGACCAACCCGAAAGTCCTCATTCAGATGTCGGGCCCATATTTGGCCTCGCAGAGTATCACCGCTTGATCCTTTGGTGGGCCGCTACCCATAGTTGCTCACGGGAAGTCAGTGGCGGCCTCAGGAGTCCAGCGACGGCCAGGAGGCAAGCCCATATGTTCTGGGGCATACTGGGACACCAGTGGTAGATCGCCATACCGTAAGCCTCGCAGAGCCCGACATACCGCCCCCCTTACCAGGGTTCCCCCGAGGAAGGAAAACACAACATATTAATCCCAAGCTATTTTCAAGGCACCCCACCGGTCTTCATAGAGGTTCCCCCTTGTTTCCCGGGATACCGTATATGGAACTTTTTAATCAGCCGGGGTGCATGTACGTCAGTATCAAGCACCCAAGAGGCTTCCGATAATGGATAGCTTTTTCATAGTACTAGATAGTACAATCTACCCCGTCTTATGCGTGAATCTAATATCTCTTGTACTTCATATTGGTCAGCCGCGATAGGACCGGGCTGAGTCATTATTCTATATTCAGATACCGGTTTCAATAAGGTGCTATGAAATACAGGATGAATTTTCCCCAAAAACTTGGAAAATTGGAGCTTTACTGGATTGATTACTGTAATGATTTTGAAAGGTCCAATATATTTGGGCCCTAATTTCTTACACGGAATTTTCAGTCATATGTACTTAGTTGACAAATACACCGATTGCCTTACAGTAAAAGGTTTAACTGGTTTGCATTTTCTGTCTGCTTGCTCTTTCATTTTCTCACTAGCCCTTGTTAATGCTTTCTTTACTGCACTCCACACTTCACTAATTTTACGTGTCCAGTCTTTGGGTAAACATGGATGGGATTCAAATTTCTGACACTCAGGTATGGGAACAAAGTCTCTACCAGACACCACCCGGAAAGGGGTGTATCCGGTGTTACTGTGTACTGCATTGTTGTAGGCGACTTCTGCAAAGACAACTAGATCGACCCAATCTGCCTTCCATTTTCTCCATTGAATTTTAGTTTTTTAGATAGGGTCCCAGAGTTCAAATATATCAAGATTCTTCTGTATTTTGAGCTTGTCTTCTGGGTGTTGGCTATTTCTGCCAGCTGAGTGTCATCTCCAAATTTAATAAGTTTCCCTTCTATTCCCTCATCTAAATTGTTTATGAAAATATTGAAGAATAGTGGGCCTAAGATAGAGCCTTGGCGTATCCCACTGTTTATACGCTCCATATAGATGTAGTTCCATTAAAGACTAACCATTGGGTGCGGTTTGTCAGCCAATTACAAATCCATCTGATGGTGATTAAGTCAAATTCAAAATCCGCAAGAAACATCTGATGTTCTGAGTTGAAAAACACAGTCCAAAGTTCAAGCAACGGGATCTGGCAAAGCTGGGAAGGTGCACATCAAAAAAAGCAGGTGTTCCAGACAAACACATCTTCACTCAGCATCTGGTTAAATTATCCTTCCCCAGTTGTTCATTTTGAGGATGGGTGGGGCTGCTGCTGACCTTCTCTGTTCCTCCCATTGCTCTGCTTTCCTCACCTGTGGATCGAGCGGGAGGCACAATTGACAATTGTATTTGAACTTGGACCTTAGTAGTCTTCCATGTGTCAAATGAATCATGTTTCATGTAATAGGTTATTCTAACATTGTGGTATGTTTGCTTTTTATTTTAATGTATAATTTTTTCTTTTTTTCATATTTTCTACACCAATTTTATAAACAATTAACATTGCACTTTTCTTTAAATCCTATAGGCAAAGAGGATGGCAATAAGAGCACTCTGGACAACTGAGAATAAGAAGCAACGTTGAAAGAAAATTGACCCAGAAATCAAAATATTTTGCATTTCCTTCAGAAAGCCACACCATTCTCCTTCTTCAGCAGCTGATAGACAAAAGAGAGAAAATTAAGAAAGATTTCAACCTGGAATAAGTAGAGCATATGGAACTCAAGGATACATTACATGAAAAGTCAAGGGAGATTATTCCTTATTCAGTAAAAGAGGGAAATATCTGGAAGTCACTGGATAGGAAAAAGTCACGTGGAGAGCCACCCAAAGCAGACAGTGATGCAAGCCATGCTCTGGGAGGAAAAAAACAGCTTTAATTAAAAAAAAACATTAAAAAAGGGATCACACATGTTTTTGACATCCTCAAGGATATAAGTGGTGGAAAAGCTGCATAGATGTGCTTATCGTGGGAAAGATACAACTTGCAAATCACAGCTGATTACGCATGAGAGGACCTATACAGGAGAGAAGCCATAAAATTTCTTCAAATGTGGTAAATACTCTATTGAGCATGGCAATGTGGTGAGACATCAGAGGACTGACATCACGTATGAGTGCCTGGATAATGTGAAAGTTTCATTTAAAATTCCCACATCATGAGACAGCAGAGGACTCACACAGGAGAGAAACCCTTTGAATGTCCTTATTGTGGTAAACGTTTCAGTAACAAATGTAACCTGGTAACACACCAGAGGACTCACACAGGAGAGAAACCCTTTGAATGTCCTGATTGTGGTAAAGGTTTCAGTGACAATTCCAGCCTGGTAACACACCAGAGGACTCACACAGGAGAGAAACCCTTTGAATGTCCTGATTGTGATAAAGGTTTCAGTACCAATTCCAGCCTGGTGAGACACCAGAGGACTCACACAGGAGAGAAACCCTTTGAATGTCCTGATTGTGGTAAAGGTTTCAGTACCAATTCCAGCCTGGTGAGACACCAAAGGACTCACACAGGAGAGAAACCCTTTGAATGTCCTGATTGTGGTAAAGGTTTCAGTACCAATTCCAGCCTGGTGAGACACCAGAGGACTCACACAGGAGAGAAACCCTTTGAATGTCCTGATTGTGGTAAAGATTTCAGTGATAATTCCAACCTGGTAACACACCAGAGGACTCACACAGGAGAGAAACCTTTTGAATGTCCTGATTGTGGTAAAGGTTTCAGTACCAATTCCAACCTGGTAACACACCAGAGGACTCACACAGGAGAGAAACCCTTTGAATGTCCTGATTGTGGTAAAGGTTTGAGTACCAGTTCCAACCTGGTAACACACCAGAGGACTCACACAGAAGAGAAACCCTTTGAATGTCCTGATTGTGAAAAATGTTTCAATCACAATTGCAGTCTGCTGAGACACCAGAGGACTCACACAGGAGACAAACCCTTTGAATGACCTGACTGTGGGAAAAATTTCAGTCACAATTCCAGCCTAGTGAAACACCAGAGGACTCACAGGAGAGAAACCCTTTGAATGTCCTGATTGGAAAAAGTTTCATTAGTAATTCTCACCTCGTGAGATACCAGAGGACTCACACAGGAGAGAAACCCTTTGAATGTCCTGATTGTGAAAAATGTTTCAATCACAATTCCAGCCTGGTGAGGCCCCAGAGGACTTGCACAGGAGAGAAACTATACGAGTGTCTAGACTGGGAAAGAGTTCAGTGCTAGGCCTAACCCTATATATCACGTGCTTGTACACATGGGAAAATCATTTACGTGCTCTGCAGTGTGGACAGTTCTTCTGGAAACATTCCACTCTTACCGCACAGAGGAAAATGCACATGGAGCCCCGAGTGATGAGTGTAGAGAAGGCTTGAATTTCATTTCTAATGTCCTATTGTAAGTCCAGCTGAGAAATTGACTAATTTAAGTACAAAGGATTTGCCAAATTTCTTGTAATCAAATATGTCATGGTATTAGACTGGAAGGAGAAAATTTAAAAAATGGAACGTATTGGTTGTTAATGGCTGTCTAGCCATCAGCAGCAGAAGTTACTGGATATTTACTTTTGCAGAAATTCGCAATTCTGTAAAAAAAACTTTTTGGGAGTGTTCTTTGTATTTTTATCATGATAGATGATAGAAATGCCATGTGCGGAGTCCCGGCGCTTTTCTCTCTCTGTGTCCTTGAGATTTTCAGCCTCAGAATCCCCCAGCAACATCTCTTTGGGATAGCAGCACTCAGACTGGTTGGTGATTGTGGCTCCTCATATAAGGAGAAGGCAAGAGAAGAAGTACAAGGGGGTTCAACATTCACCTTTTCCTCACTGTTCCAAGAACTCAGTGCAACAAGCATGTTTGTTCAGATTGTGTCAGGAAAGAGGCACGCAAGTCCGAGAAACCATATGAACAGCAGATATATTGTGGGACTTTTTGGGCAGTGATAAAAGCAGTGTAAAATTGGAGATGTGAAGGCTGTTCTGCCTGGAAGATGACCTTCCTGGAGATGAACTATAGGAATATTGAGCTGAGACATTTTTGAGCACAGAATCTCCAGGTTTATTTGCAACTCCTGTTGTGACTTCCTTTGTTTTTAGGGTAATAATAATAATAATAATAATAATAATAATAATAATAATAGTAATAATAAAGTTGGAAGGGACCTTGGAGGTCCCTTGTTAGCCTTGAACAGCTGGTGGGTGAGAGCATACCAAGAGGATAATGCCCCCCCCCTTGGTGGGGAGATGTGAGAAAAAGATTTTACGGTAGATGATGTCTCATTTCTAAAACAGCCTTGCGCTAGAACAGTGGTTCTCAACCTTTTTAATGCCACGACCCCCAACCGGTTGTAAGTCGAGGACTACTCAACCGGTCGTAAGTCGAGGACTACTCAACTGGTGCAGCATCGTTTGCAAAATGGGACTTTTGGTGGGCTCAGCAGGGCAGAGACAGCCTGGACAATTCCTATTGGCTTTTGAAAGCCAATATAATTAGCATTTATTCAAGAGAGTCTATTCTATTGGCTGTCAAAAGCCAATAGAATAAAAGGGAGTAGCACAGCTAAGGAAAAGGGGGGGGGGGAAATGGCAGACTGCGTTGTTTGGCGACCCCCGTGAAATGGTCGTTCAACCCCAAATGGGATCCCGACCCACAGGTTGAGAACCACTGCGCTAGAATCATGAATAGCTTTTGAGAAAGAAAGAAAAAAAGGAAAGTGTCAGCATTTCTGTAAACATTGGGACAGGGTAATGCAAAGCTGTCTTCTCAACGCATGGGAGACATTTCCTCTTCTTTCCCTTCTATCCTAGGGCTCCTTAATTTTTTTTTTTTTTAATCCTTCAAATAAAGAGGGGAACATCATTTGTAGCAGCGGAAGAGATATTTTAGCTATGCGGATGCATAAAGGATCCTGATTTTGCTGGATGAGAAGAGACCAAAGAATTCCAAGATTGTTCATTTCACCCACATGGTTCAAAAAGAAAGGTTTAAGGGGGGGTTCCTTAAGGGGGTCACATGGCATGTGGTCCCTTTGCAGAAGGACACCCAGCGATCGGGACCAGGCCAGGCAGGTGGAGAAGCCAAGAGGCTCTCGGGCTGAGTCTCAGGCTCCAAGGGACTTTGAATGTAATGTGCCAAATTTATAAACTTTAAAATAGTAAAATTATATTTTAGTAACTTTCCCTTTCCTTAGTGTCATATTTTAGTGCACATCTTTATCATGTCTCCTCTTATTATGGTTAGGAGTCGGAAGGCCTTGCAGTGATCCCAAAGCCTCTGAGTCTCTTACAGGGCTAGATGAAAATATCAAGCCAAATGAAAGAAAGCCAATCTACGAATCGGAGGGACTGATCTACAGGGTGAGGTCAAAAGCCATGAAGATTGGAGGAACAGTCCCTTTCCTCAGAATCAACATCTGATGCTCCGAGTGAAAAGTGTCCAATGTGTGTTGTTTGGAGGATACTGGATCTTGAAAGCTGCAGCCTTGATTTTGGAGCTGGAGTAGCAGGAACAGCTGGATAGATTTTGTGGGGAGGAAGACGGCCCAGTCTGGTCATCAGGCTTATTTCTGGTCATGGTTTAGGCACCAGGCCATCTCGGAGACCAGAATAGAAATGGAAAATAGAAAATAAGAGAAGATAGATTAGAATTAAAATTAGAACATAGAACAGAGAATAGGGGAGAGGAGGAGAGAATAACTAAGGGACCTTGGAGGTCTTCTAGTCCAGCCTCCTGCTCAAGCAGGAGAACCTATAGCATTTCAGATAAGGGGCTGTGTTGTTGTTGTTAATTGCGAAGTCGTGTCCGACCCATCGCGACCCCATGGACAACGTTCCTCCAGGTCTTCCTGTCCTCTACCATCTTCTGGAGTCCATTTAAGTTCAGGCCTACTGCTTCAGTGACTCCATCCAGCCATCTCATTCTCTGTCGTCCACTTCTTCTATTGCCCTCAATCTTTCCCAGCATTAGGCTCTTTTCCAGTGAGTCCTTTCTTCTCATTAGGTGGCCAAAGTATTTGAGTTTCAACTTCAGGAAGGGGCTGTGTAGTCTCCTCTTAAAAACTTCCAGTGATGAAGCACCCAGAAACTCTGAAGTCCAGCTGTTCCACTGGTTAATTGACCTCACTGTTAAGAAGTTTCTTCTTAGTTCCAGGTTTCTTCTCTCCTTTATTAGTTTCTAACCATTGTTTCTTTTTTTTCTTCAAAATTTTATTTATAATACAATTAAAAAAAACATTGGCTATAACGTGACATTCCAGTATATACATTCTTATCAAATTATTCCACATTTTACAATCGACCAACCATTGTTTCTTGTCCTTTCCTCTGGTGCTTTGGAGAATACTAATAATCTTTATGGCAGCCCCTCAAATACTGGATTAGTGCTATCATGTTCACCCCTAATTCTTCTTTTCTTTAGATTAGCCAAGCCCAAGTCCTGCAGCTGTTCGTATGTTTTAGTCTCAAGGCCTTTGATCCTCTTAGTTGCTCTTTTCTGAATTTTCTCCAAACTCTCAACATCGTTTTTGTGATATGGTGACCAAAATTGCCTGCAGTATTCCAGGTGTGGTCTTACTAGGGTTTTATAAAGCAGTACTAATACTTCGTGTGATCTTGATTCTATGCCTCTGTTTATACAACCCAGGATTGTATTATCTTTTTTGGCTGTTGCTGCACACTGCTGGCTCATAGTCAAATGGCAAATGGCTTTTATAATCCAATAAGCTCCTATTGGTTAGGAGGGAAAGTCCATAAAAATAGTTAAAAATAAAAAAGGAAGGAAAACTAAAAATAGCAACAGGGCAAAAAGAAGGGGGAAAGGGGAGGGGGAAAATGCTCCCAAAGTAAAAAGGGAAAAGAAAACAGTAAAGAAAAAAGAACAAAAATGTCAAAATTATAATCCACCATATTCTGTTGTAGGGAATTTCTTAATTTTAAATTCTTCTAGGACAGGGCTTTTCAATCAGTGCTACGTGTACCATCTGTGGTACATTGGCACCTGGTAGGTGGTACGCAACCATCCTAGAAAAGTGGTAGCGGGGGAGGGGAATGAGATGAAGCGGTGGCAGCACCACACAAGTCTGAACGAAGACGGCTGGAGCTTCAAGGCTGTCAGGGCTCAGTGGAAGCACCAGGATCAGTGCTGCTTTCAAGCTGATTGGTGCTTCTTCGAAGCTGTCAGGGCTCAGTGGAAGTGCCAGGATCAGCGCCAGGCTCCAGCTGGAGCTCGGTGCTGATCCTGGTGCTTCTGCTGAGCCCAGAAGAAGTGCCAATCAGCTGGAATGTTGCAGCATCTCCAGGATCTCGTGATTTACATTCAGGTGCTTGGCAACTGATTCATATTTATGATGGTCACAGTGTCCCAGGGTCATGTGAAGTGACCAAAACCTGCTGCAACCACTCAGCAGATGGGGGGAAATAAAAAACAAACACCCCCCCACCCCTCCCCCATTGCCAATCCTCAACAGAAATGCTCACAACAATGAAAACCTCGGATAGGAGGAAGAGCGCCGCCAGGTGGGCAGGCAGGTGTCTTGCTTGGCTGTGGCTTGGGGGACACTTTTTTCAGTGCCATTGTATCTTCGAACAGTCACTAAGTGAACTGTTGTAAGTCGAGGACTACCTGTACTTCATCACTTTTTTCCTTTTTTTTTTTTTTGGTCATCAGGTTTTTGACACCTTGCTAGATGACTGGTGGTACTCGGATGTTGCCATATCCTAAAAGTGATACAATGGGTGAAAAGGTTGAAAAGCTCTGTTCTAGGACAGCTTGTTATAATTCCAAAGCACACAGTATTTGTAATCCAGGTGTCACAAGTTCCGACTAATGAAGCACTTCAAAGAACTTTCAGGCATGTTTCCTAAAGTCTTTATTTGCAGAGCTACAGATTATGCCGGTCACCATTGGACTAATTGATGCCAGAATCTGAACTTCCGGGCGCTGGCATCAAGCTTTCCTTGCTCAACCCCTCCCTTCTCATGCAGTCACAGGTCACATTATCCAATTAGTGAGAAGGTCAAACGTTTACTTCCTCTTTCTTTCCCGGGCTTTTTCCCCCCGCCCAGTCTAAGCTAAGTATTAACCCAATAAATGCCAGACAGTTTTGCATATTGTCAAAGCAAGAATATACAGTATTTGCAGCATTGACATCCGGCCCCCCTTACAAGAAGGACAGATCCTGTAAGGAAACAAAAGCATATGTTAAGGGTTATCTTTCGGTTTGCTGGGGTGTTTCACATGAAACTTTTCGATCAATCTGTCAGCGTTCACTTCACTAGATTTCACCCAGGTGGCTTCAGACAATGGGTATCCCTTCCATTGTACCAAGTACTGTAATTTCCCTCTAAAGATTCTGGAGTCAAGAATACGTTTCACTTCATAGTGGGTCTGCCCTGCCACTACGAGGGGTCCAGGTGCCTTCTTTGGAGGAGGTCTCAAAGTGGAGCCCCGATAAGGCTTCAACAAACTACAATGGAAAACTGGGTGAATTTTCCCTAACAGTTTAGGGAGTTTTAGTTGTACTGTGACTGGGTTGATGACCTTTACTATGGGGAAAGGCCCCAAGAATTTTGGTCCCAATTTCTTGCTGGGCAATTTGAGGCGTAGATATTTAGTTGACAGATAGACCTTTTCCCCAACTTGGAATGTTCTTTGGGGAGCCCTCTTTTTATCAGCCTGCTTTTTATAGGTTTCAAAAGTCTTTTTTAAAGCAGTTTTTGTGTTTTTCCAAACTTCTTCCCATCCTCTCACCCATTGATCAAGTGTCTGTGAAGCGGAGGGCAACTGAGGATATTCAGGTATTGGGTTGAATTCTTTCCCTGTGGCTACTTTGGAAGGCGTGTAGCCGGTGCTGCTGTGCACGGAATTATTGTATGCCACCTCCGCAAAAGGGAGGAGATCAGTCCAGTTCGTCTGTTGGTAGGAAACGTAGCACCTAAGATATTGCTCCACCATTTTGTTAGCGGCTTCAGCGGCCCCATTGGTGGCTGGATGAAAAGCAGATGATAACCCTTGAGATGATCCAATCAATGTAAGGAAATTTCTCCAAAACTTCGCTGTGAATTGCACCCCCCTGTCTGAGATTATTCGCTTAGGGGCACCATGCAGCCGGTAGATATGTTTCAGGAACAATTTGGCCAGGCGTTGGGCGGATGGGAGTCCTTTGCAGGCGATGAAATGAGCTTGTTTCGAGAACAGGTCTATCACAGTCCAAATGACAGTATTTCCCTTACTTTCAGGTAGGTCCACTATAAAGTCCATAGCTATTTCTTCCCAGGGTTGAGAAGGGTCTGCCACGGGTTGCAGTAACCCAGGAGTTTTCCCCGGGATTCTTTTCATTGTAGCACATACTGTACAACTTTTTACATAGTTTTCCACATCCTTTTTCAGCCCCGGCCACCAGAATTGCCGGCGGGTGAGGTGTAGG